GCCCCTCTCTTCTGCATTGCTTAAGAACACCCCACCCCCATTTCATTGATTCCCAGAGCTAAAAGAACATTCAAGTTCATACCTCCCAATTTACAGGGAAACTGAGGCCCAGGTGGAGGTGGCTTAGTTGAAGTCACAAGCCAGAATTTGGATCCAGGTGTGCCTGTCCCTCCTCACAGTGCTCTTTCCACTCTCTGGGCTCAGACTCTGCCCTCAGCGCCTCTCTTTCCCTCTCCCATGGACTCAGGACCCCTTCTCTGAACCTCATCTTGGGGCATAGGTCAGCAGAGGCCTGGATGCTTCTAGTTAAGGGCCTGAGAATTTCCAAGGGGGCTTTCTGCCTCCTGAGTGGGGGAGGAGTCTGGGAAGGGCCCAACCACAGTCCTTGCGCACCCCCCAGGCCCTCCCCAGACCGCAGAGGCCAGCCCTCCCCGCTCCCACCTTGGCTGTGTCTGCCCACACACTCACCTGAGCTGGAGTGAGGCCTCATTAAATGGCCCCACAGTCTTGGGAGGGAGGGAGACACCAGCACTGCACAGGGATGTCCACGCCACGGGTGTCCCAAAGAGAGCATGTACGTACATACACTCACAAGTGCATGCACGCTCTCACACAGCTCACATACGCACAGGTATCAGGCACATCTCCAATGTCAGCGTTTGTTGCTACAAGTAGCGTTATTCTCCTTGGGATTTTTCTTATTCAGAACTTGGCTTGACAGCCCCACCTCCTCATCCTTGGTCAACGCAACCCAATTCTTCTCCTCCTTCCAGTTGTCTGAGCATTTTTATTGGAATAAACCAGCAGGAAAAGATTTCAAGGCTGAAGTTCAAAGCCCTTTCATAATCTCTGTGATGTGATGTTGCGTTATAAAAATAATGCTAAGAACAGAAAGTGACCTTTATTTCTAATCTATACTCCTTGATGACTTCTGGCTTTTCTTAAGAAACTAGATATTTTTCCCCTGGTTATTAAAAAGAATATGTGTGAGACAGAAGCATCTGAAATTTCACCACGGAGATAACTACAGATAACCCAGTGAATATTCTTCCAGACTTAAAAATATTCACACGCTCACATATACACACAGATATTTCTGTCTAGAAAGATGAGATAGTAGCAGGCATGCTCTTTTCTAATCTGCCTTCCTCTCTCCACAATATGCTATGGACATCTCTCAATGCCAGTAGAGACTCCTTCTGTGTGGACACTTGGCACTCTCAGCCTCTCTGACTCATGTATCACTCTACTGCTCACCGGTCTTGCAGATGGGGGTGAATGGGTAGGTGGCTCTTGGGGATGCAGGCACTGAGAGTGGGGTTCTCCTTAAGGCAGCACGTGTAGACAGAATGAGGCCTTGCAAAGGGCTGAGTCCCCTGCTGAGCTTTGGCTGGCCTCATGGGGCCTGAGAGAAAGGGGAAGCTCAAAACATTTTTTAAAACAAAAACTGCTAAAGAGACAGGGTGATGGGTTCAGTGGTAGGATTTGCATTCCGGGAGGCTGCCAAGTTGACCTCAGCGCAAGGGGACACACTGGGCACTGATGGGGCTGCATGCCCAGGAAAGATAAATTGGGGAGTCAGGGGTTCAAGAAGCAGCGTGGAGGGACGCCTCCACTCAGGGTCAGGGTGACCTTAAGGAGAAGAATTTTGACTTTTTTTTCTTGGATTTATTTATACCCAGCCTCTTTCTAAAAAGGTGTTATAGTCACTTTCCACAAAGGACATATGCAAAAAGGTCAGGCAGCTAGAAATAGAAAATCGGGACCAGGGACGATTTCCATCCGAAGGGGAGGGCCACACAGGAAAGGGCCCTGCTTCTCCCAGCCCCTGAGGATGAGCTGGCGAAAAAACCAGAATGTTCCCGAAGAGGGGGGAAGGAGGGGAAGTGATCTGGCTGAAAAAACATGGCACCAGAAGTCAAAAATCTACATTTGCCTGCAGGTTCTTCCCGTTCCTACTGGGTAACCACAGTACCTTTCTGAGCCTGTTTCCTCATCAGTAAACATGAAAATAAAAATATCTGAGTCGTTGTAAGTTACACAATGTCTATAATTTACCTGATCTACCTGTATGGTTTGCATTGGGACCTGCCCTTGGACAGGGTCATTTTCATGGTGCACATACTGAACAACTGTGCTCCTGAAAATGGATGGTCACAGAGGAGAGTGAAAGAGGGAAGAACCAGGGAAGCACGTTTATGGTGCCTGCCAACCCCCTGCCCCTCTGAAGTGAGCTCACCCGCAGCTTTTCCAGAAGCAGCAGTCCCCAGCAGCTATATTTTATATCCATGACCTCTTCCTCCTATCCAGCTGATTGGATCGAGGCGGCACCTGACCTAAGGGTAGCCAATCAACAGGTTGCCAATGACATGTGTATGACTGGGAACAAAATGGTGGGTCAGTCCAATGGATCCTTCCTCTAGAGAGGCTGAGTTAGTAAATGCTGGGAGCTGCCCCTGAAAGGCTGTGAGGGGAAGTTGCAGCTGGAGAGGGCATGATACCTGGAAAGCTGAAGTCATGAAAGAGCAAACACCATGCGTCAGGAGAGGAACTGTGTGGGCAAAAGGAAGCAGGTGCTAGAAAGTGGCTGAATCATGCCAGGGTGGTTATCTATTATGTCCTCCAACCTCAGAGACTTTAAACAGTTATTTTTATTATACTCCATGACTTTGTGGGTCAGGAATTTGGGCAGAACTTGGCTGGAAGTTTCTTCAGTTCATGTGGCATCAACAGAGGTATTTGGCCAGTGGGTGGGCCGGTCTGGATGGTCGAAGGAGGACTTACTCCCAAGTCTGGTGCTTTGAGGGGGAAGGTGAAGGCTGGGCTCAGCTGGGACAGCCAACTGGACCCCCCCTGTGGCCTCTCCAGCATGTCAGTCTTAGGGAGCTGGACATCCAACGTGGTGGTGGTTCAGGGCTCCCAGGGAGAACATTCCCAGAGGCCTGAGCTGATGCTGCAAGGCATCTTCAACACAGCATGTCACATTCTATCGGCCAATCAAGTCACTATGACCAATCCAGGTTCAAGAAAAAGGGAATTAGACTTCCCTCTCTATAGGAGGAATAACAAATAATTTTTGGCCATCTTTTCTCTGCCACATGTGAGGAACCATAAACTCCGAAAGCTACCTTGAATCCAGAATACCTATCTCGTTCCAGAAACCCAGCCCTGTTACACCTCTTATGCTTGGATTTCTTTGTTTTTTTTTTTTTAAGATTTTTATTGGGGATTGAAGGATGGGAACAGTGCTGGGGAATTGGGGGAAGGGGAACAGACAAGTTGCTGTCCTTTTGTTCTTCAGTCTAGTTGTGGAGGACGTTGTTTCACTGGCCCAAGTTGGCACCATCATTGCGCTCTTCCCGGGCGAGGCAGATCAGTCGCCGGCTTCTGGACAGCCGCTCACGGCGGCTGCTGGCCACTCATGCTGGCTGCTGGCTACACACACGGTAGCCCATGGCAACCCATTGCAGCAGGGGCTGCAGCCTACGCTGTCGCTGGCGACTCACGGCAGCCCAGCTCCAGGTTGAGCTGTTGTTCAGCCTCTTAGCTGTAGAGGGCAGTGTCACTGGCCCTCATATGTGGGATCCGAACCAGGGCCCTCTGGCATCCCAAGCCAGTTCTTAACCAACGCGCCACTCGGCCGGCCCTATGCTTGGATTTCTGAGAGTGTCCGCCTCACTACATGTAGCCTCACAATAATGTTCCTGTACTTGAATGAGCTCAAGTGGGTCTCTTCCCTGCACCCAATGAGCCAACCCAATGCAGTGGGGGGCCCCAAGTTCTAAAAGAGAAATCCCAGGTTTTATTATATAATCCCAAGGAGTTACCCAAGGTGTGAGCTGATAAAGCTGGGGTAGGGAGCCCCTAGGCTTTTCACCTTTCTGAGCCTCAGTTTCCCCATCTGGAACACGAGAATGAAACTATATGCTCTACCTACCTGAGTCACTGTAACTGAGTAACATGAGTAACATGAAAGTCTCTCTTGCTCTGATTTGCCTAATTTCTCTGCAGTTCATATCGTGGCACCCATGCCCATGATTTGGGGTCACTTCACAAACCTTCACAGGGGAGTGGATTTTCCTCATCATTGCCTGACCCCATGACCCTAGCAAGCTATTTCTCCTAAGGAAAACATAGTAGTAGATGGTTAAAATCAGTCACCTTTAAGGGCCTCCCACCTCTGAGATTCTAGGATTCTATGAGGTCTGGGGGATAGGGAAAGGTTGGCACAATATGATTTGGGGGTAAGTGGGCACCTAACGTGATGAGTAAAGGAGGCAGCCCCAGATAGAGCGCAGAGTGGGGTTTATGGGCCCAGGACAGGAACTCAGATTGTGAGGGGAGTAGGAGGATGTAGGAGGGATGGTGGGCTTGGGTGCCAGGAAGGGAAACGGCAAAGTTGGCACAAGTGGTTGACCAACTTTAGTCCTCCTTCTTGTCCCTGCCCCCTTCCTTGAGACTTCTAAGTTTTGTTTTTGTTTTTGTTTTTTTTACCCTTCAGGCCTTTGCCTATTCTGTTCCCTCTGCAGAGGGAAGACCCCCTCTGCCCCAGCAGCCTAACTCCAATCCTTCTTTAGGTCTCTCCCACGTATCTCTTCTTTAGAGAGGTCTTCCCTGATGCCCCAGCCCAAATAAGAGCCTCCTTTCACCGTCACAGCACCAGTTTTCCTTCACAGCCCTAATTATATTCATAATGATACATTTCCTGCTGTATCAGCTTAGTCTCCATCCCTCCCCCACTAACCAGCAGCTTCCGTCAAGGTAGTATTTGGCTAGCATTTGTTGAAGGAACAAATGAATTGAGGACATCCAAGTTCACTGGGCTGGAGGCCAGGGCGCAAGTCCTCACTGTCTGGGCGGCAGAAAAGGATCCATGATAGCTGGTGCCAAAGACAAGAAAGGATTCCCCCAGGGGCCTGAGAGGAACTCCCAGCCTCTCCCCCACGTCCCCTCCTGACCTGCCCACGTGCCATCGACACACACAGCCTGACCCGGAGCGCTAGAACACTGCAGCTTTATTGAAACAACCGCGTCCGCAACTAGAGGTTACATCTGGGGGGGCTTGGGGGTGAAAGAGAGACGAGGGAGGAAGAGGCTGAGGTGGAGACAGACAGCAAGGCAAAGGGGTGAGGACGGGGCCGTGTGACTAAAACAACCCCAGTACCTTTCACCCGTTAGTGAGGGTCTCCTGTTGTGCTTTGACCTTGGTGGTGGGTGGGCCAGGCATGGGCAGGGGCCTTCTCTCCCAAGTTCATGAGGCCTCAGGGCTGGAGCAGTCCCCTGGCTCCCCTGCCCTTTCTCCTGGGATGGGGATAAAGGCCTTGGTGAGCTGGCCACCCTGGGGCAGGAAGGATGCTGGGGACCAGTGGGGTGGAGGGGCCAGAATTGGGCTAAGATAGTGATTATGTGAGCAGCTGGGTGTGTGTGTGTGTGGGGGGGGGAATGCCAGGAGGGAGGGCATTCCTCGTAGGGCTCCTGGGAAATGAATGCAGGTGACACGAGGGAGAGGGGGTGGTGGTGGGCATGTGCCACCTCTCTGGGCCTCAGCTTTCTCACCTGTACAGTGTGGGTACTGGATTAGATGGTCTCTAAGGTCTCTTCCAGCTCTAAGGGTCAAGGGATACCCATGAAAGAGTGTTCCTTCTGCCCCAGCACACACACCATCACAAACATACATGCACTCGCGTACGCGTGTGCGCACGCGCGCGCGCGCACACACACACACACACACACACACACACACACACACACTCAGACACAAGCATAGCACTGACTTAGAGAGGGTTGAAAGCAGGGAGGGTTCCCCTGAACCCAGAACCTCAGCTAGTGGCCCTACAGGGACTCCCCAAAGAAGGTTCTCCCACCCTATTCTTGGGGACAGACCTGGAAATACCCCCCAACCCTCTTGAGCTGTCCAGAGAGAAGAAAATACCAGGATTTGTCCCTGTTCCCCCAGGTCCTCCTGGTCCTTAGGGGAAGTCAACAGGATGAGGACACCAGGACACACTGACCTTCATTCCCAGCCCAGACTTGTGTGACGACTGAGGGGAGGGGAAGGGGTACTGAGTCCCTTCTCTCTGAGAGCCTGGGAGAGGGGCAGCAGCTACAGCCAGTGTGGGCAGAGGGAGGCGGCCTCCATGTGGCACCTAGGCCTGACCTGGGGTGGGAGGGGCTGTGACCTGGGACAGGGGTCAGCATTATGTCTCCCAATGCAGGGCCCAGAAACATCTGTAACATTCGTACCAGCAGCTGGAGACAGGGCAGTTTGACCAAGCTCCCCACTATTACCTGGCAAGCCACCCCAGGGGCGGTGGCCAGCAGTGTGACACCCCCAGGGCCTCAGTATCTGGATTCCAAGGCTGGCTCCACCCTAACTAGCTATGTGACCTGCAGTCCCTTCCCCACACTGGGCTTCACCCTCCTCAACTGCACCACGAGGAGTATGGACCTCTGAGGCCCAGCCTGGCACTGACAGCCTGAACCAGGGGCTTTCACAGAGCACAGGGAGGAAGGAGGATGAACGGGAAAGAGGTGTCAGGGCTGTCCCAGAGAGGACAAAGGTGGGAGGAGGGTCCCAGGAGGAGAGGACTTGGTTTGCAGGCTTAGTTTGGCACCCCAGGTGGCTGTCTTGTGGTCCCAGCGACAGGGCAGCCACGCTGAGACGCCCCCTCTTCCCACCTGTACGGCACCTGGCCCCAGGAGGTCCTCTCTCCTCCAGACACCAGCTTGGAGGTGGTGGGGTGGAGGGACCCTAACACCCTGAGAGCTGGCCCTGGACTCTCAGTTTTAAGGCCACAAAACGCCTCAGCCCCCATGACCCAGAGCTGAGACTGCCACTGGGGAGACGCACTGGATCCAGCCAGCCTGGTCTCCCCTGGGCTGGGGGTATTCATGGGCCATCTACCAACACACAGATGTTGACAGCCACTGGTGCACAAGACACACACAGCACAGGTGACATTGATACAGAGGTGCTGACTCACCGGCATACACAGACACAGACACAGACACAGACACACACACACACACACACACACACGTGTTACCCAGGGACACACAAAGACACTCATTTCTGCACACACACACACAGACTGGCACACCCTAGGCACTCACACCACACACTGTTAGTGCTAGCACACAGACACCGACATCCCCTGTAGTCCTGCCAGCACGCAGACACACACGTACCAGCCTCACCCTCCACACACGAGGACCAGGGACCTCAGCGTCTCCCTCAGGCATGCTTTGTGAGCTCAGGTCTAGCCACCCTCAAGTCAGGGTTGCCCCTGCCCCATTGCAACCTCCTTCCAGCCGTGCTCCCTGTCACTCCCTCGCTTTGCATTCTCTGTCCATGTCACCAGGTCCCCTCTCTCCAGACCAGAAACTCAGGGGCCGTACATGTGTGGTTCAGCTCAGCTGACATATGCCAAACACCTTTTCTGCACTAGACTCTATGGATATGGAGGTGAACAGGGGTCCCCATATTGGAGCAGCCAACACAGAGGACAGGTGTATTCAAAGCCACCTGAGAGGAGTAGACCTAGGGTGCCACGGAGCCCAAGGAGGAAGCGCTTGGGGCTATTCATCTCTGGGGCTCCAGCCCCACCCCAGAGAGGCCACAGAGGAAGCACCTGGCAGGTGATATGCCAGTGGTTCCCACTCTTGGGTTCTCCTCAGGAGCTTTTAAACATTTCTGATGCCAGGCCGCATGCCAGTCCAATTAAGTCAGAACCTCTGGGGTGGGACCCAAGCATCAGCTTTCTGAAAGACGCTCTGGTGGTTCTATCCTGCAGCCAGAGCTGGGCAAAGCCTGCTGAATGAATTCCAGAACAGGCCCACTTGTGCCAGGCATGAGGTTGGGATGGGGTGGGGAGAGGGTTGGGAGGCTGAGGAGGAGCTCACAGTCTAGTTGGGACAACAGACCCTGCACAGATGGGGCAATTAAGGAACAATACCCAGCAGGCGCGATGGAAGTGTGTTCTGGGAGCCTGTAGCCACTCATTTCGTGCAGTGGCCTTGGCTGGGCCAGGAAGGCAGCCAGGTTGGTTGGGTATGAGGAGGCCCTGCTCCAGCTTTGGCCCGGACACCCACCAGCTGTTGGTGATGATGGTAACTCAGGCCTGGCAGAGCGGTGAGATGGGCAGCGTTTGCCTTGGTTCCCTGCCTGCCTCCTGGCATGGCAGTGCTGTCTCGTCTCTGCAGCTGTCCCCACCGAATGCGCCAGGAGAAGCCCAGTGACTCTCCTTTCCAAAGGTTGTTGCATTCCAATAGGGTCATCTATAAGCTCTTTGTCATCCATAGAGGATGAAAGGTAGAAATTCAGGTGGTGGCAAGGCAGCTTGAGACTACAGAATAGGGCTGGAGGTGGCGTATTTGGCCAGCACTCCACAAGCATTCCTGTCACTCATGAAGACGGACGTGCATACACACAGGCACTCACAGGGACAGGGTGCAGACCCAGCCTCACAGATATGTATCATTGCACACGCATGGTCATAGTTGCACACACTCCTGCCCAGAGATGTACCCACAGTGCTACATAGACACAAATGTGTCCACACATATGCACACATACACACACAGACATGCAGCCTCTTGCACACATGCAAGAAGACTCATTCTGAAAAGGGCCTCCTCTCTCCCATGGACGGCTGGGTGGGGGTTCAGGGGTGATGCTGAGAGGTCTAGATCCCATCGTGCCCAACTCAGGCTCCTGACCCCGAACCCAAGGACAGGGAACCCTTTCAAAGCTGGGGGCATGGTCTCAGCTCCCAAGGAACAGGGGGACCAGCGACTGCCCCACCCCTCACCCCAGCTCTGCAAACGCCTCCTCCTTCACTGACCCTGGGTGGGAAGGGAACAGCCAACTAGAAGGTGCTTCGCAGTGGAGAGGGCAGGGGCAGCCTCCCTACACACACCGTCCCATCCAGGGTACCCCTCATGCAAAGTACATAAGAAATGGAAGTTCCATTCTACTCTCAAGTTCAGTGTTCTATATGGGAACCCCAAATTGTGAAAGCACGACTTCTCTGCCCCTTTCAAGTCAAGCCTCGCTCCAAAAAAATGGCCTGGCCACCACTCACTCCCTTGGCTCCTCAGAGAGGCAGCTGGGGGCTGAGGTTAGGCCAGTGGATTAGGGTGGGGACTGTATTCTCAGGAAGCCAGCTGCTTCAGGAGGGGAGCTGGGGGTGGAAGGGGAAGGTGTCAATCTTCAGGGCTCAAGACCCGGTGCTGGGTCCCTTCAAAGGGGGCACAGTGAGGGGGGAATACGACATCCCAGGTACAGGTCAGGGGATCTGGGTGGCCTGGGGTCTCCACCTTTCGGCCCTTGTCCTGGGAACAGAGTTGCTCACAAAGTCCCGCCTGGCCCCCTCTGATGGCTCCCCATCCCAGGGAGTCCCAGAGTCCAGCCAAGAGCAGGGCCCCCGTTTCTGTTTCCCTTCTGGTAAAGCCACCTGGCGGGAGCTCAGCCTTAAAATTAGGGGTGGGGGAAGGGCAGAAACACACCACAGGTGCAGCCAGGACAAGGCCTACGTGGCAGCAAGGTTCCTGGGGAGGCAGACACCATTCCGGTGAGTCCCGTCTCTGCAGTAAAGAAGGTGCTGGCAGGTCAGATAGAAACTTGTGCTTTAATAGATCTCTGTGTGTGTGTGAGTGTGGGTGTGTGAGTGTGTGCATGTGTTGAACGACCGTCTGCAGGGCCTCAGTGCCAGGCCTCTGTCCTTGTTCACTGCTCATCCTCGCAGCCAACGCAGGCCCCCTCCCTGGTGGGCTGGCCCTGCCCCGGGCACCCCGGCTAGCGGGGGTCAGTCTTTGGTACGATGCAGACACTTTGGTGTGCCGGGGGCGGGGTGGGGGTCCACGTAGCTCTCATCATCTCTGCAACGCCAAGAGAAAGATGGCCACGGGCCCCCAGAGCTGCGGGCAGGGCTGGCGGCGGGCTCCACTGCCGGGCATCACCACCACTGCGATGGGAGAGAGAGGGGAGACAGGCCAGGGCTCCGGTCAGCTGGGCGGGGCCAGGGAGTGGCAGGCAGGCACCAGGCTGTGGGAGGGCCCGTTACTCTGGCCCTCTCTCTGGGGACCTGAAGGTGGGCACTGCCCTCTATGCACACGGACACACTCAGCACAGGTGTGAGGTGGTGTGGTGTGGGAGTTAACTCAGCCTGCCAGGGTCTGAATCCTGGCTCTGTGGCTCACTAAGACACGAAGCAATTCATTTGACCTCAGCAGGCCTCAGTTTCCTCATCTGTAAGATGAGTCTGAAAGTAAGAGCTATCCCAGGGCAGTGCTGTGAGGGCTAAATGAGCTCATGCATATGCAGATTTTTGCATCTTGCCTGGTACACAGTAACCACTCAGTAAACTCTAGCTGTTATTATTGCAAACACCTGGTTCCCAGGTGGGGGGGCACATGTCACATCTGGACCCCCACACAGAGGAGTACCCAGACACAGATACAGGAGGCACCCTGGTAAGTCAGTAGCTCAGCAAGCTCATGGAAGCAGCATCTGGTCTTCCCACTGTCCCTACATAAGCCCCAGAGCCCGAGCCAAGCTGGGGCCCAAGTCTTCACACAATCACCAGCTTGCAGCCCATCAGCCAGCATCCTGAACCCCCAAACACTGTCCTTCCCCAGACACAGGTGCCCACCCAGACAACCCTCCACAGATTTGCCCCCACTTCTCGTCTTCACCTTTATTAGGATCCATCTGCTTCCGAGGACATTCTCCCTTCTTCAGTGTGACATCATCTATGGCGATATCCCCCAAGTAGCCCGAGCCTCGAACCCCCTCAAAAATAATCTGGCGTGGGATCAGAGAGAAGAAGCAGGGATCAGGGCAGTTCTGCTGGACAGACCTTCACCCTTCGGCTTGGCATACCTGGGAGCCCCCCATCCCCACCCCCACCCCCTGCCTGCTTTCCTCTGGGCTCCCAGGAACAAGCACGGAGCCTTCTGAAGTGCTTCCTGGCCAGAGCAACAGCCCAAGGGCTGGGAGAGCCTGTGAGGAGCCTCTGGGCCTGGCAGACTCACCTGGAAAGGCCCGCTGGGGTTGATGGGCACATGGGCCTGCTGCCACACATTGCCCTTATTGCCACTGAGGGACCAGGCGTGCGTGTCCAGGGCCCCCTTGTTCCGGGACCGCACCAGGAGGTTGAGGGAGCCTGCGGTGGGTGTGACGAGAGAGGGGCAGTGAGGTCTGTAGAAGGACGCCCTGACCCTTCCCGACTCACTAGGCCCTCCTCTCACCACTGCCCACAGCACTGTCCCTGTTGCATGGGACTTTCTCCCCATCACAGGCTGGTTCAAAGTCCCATTATCCTGGGGTGGGAGTGGGGGGTTGGGGGGTGACATGGGAAACACAGAGACAGCAGCAGGACTTCAGTTCATCAGGACAATTTGCAAATTTTCCTTAATTTCTTCCCTCCCTTCCTGATCAGCTAATCTCCCACCCCAGAAAACACACACACACACACACACACACACACACACACACACACACACACANACACACACACACACACACACACACACACACACACACACACACACACACACACACTGCCCTCTCCCCTCTAGAAAGGGGCGTTGTCCTGGGGTGATGGGGCTTATGTCTGAGCACACAGGAGGATTCCAAAACTTGCAATGCACACCCCTGGCAGTACAGGATATATATGAGGTAATTTCTGGAGGTACAGAAATGGACAAAAAATTTTTAATACTTATACGTGTGTTTTAAGAGATGAATAAAGCTAGTCCTTCAAACCCACGATTTAACTAATATTAATGCTTAGGACAAAGCTAAGAAAAAAAGAATGAGTTGATTTAAAGAAAGATATTAGTATAAGTGTGACATAACCAGGGTAAAAATAGTGCAAGGGAAATTTTGGAGGCATTAGTCTGTGGGTGCTGAGCCCATCTGCCCACAGCCACGGGCCCGGGGTTCTGGAGGTGATGAGGGGCACTGGAGGAGAGGGAGGGGGTCATGGCTTGGCTAAGAGCATCCAGGCAATGTCACGCCCCCTCCCTGGCTCTTCCAGCTCATCTCGAGCCCCCAGTGACATGACACACCTGACTCAGAGGGAAGAGGAATCAACCTAGGTGGCACCTGGTAGCTGGCATTTCCATGGCGCTGCCCACAGACAAAGCCACACCATCTGTGACGCCATACAGACAGACCCCCTATGGGGGAGAGCCACCAAATGCTGCCTGCCTGAGATCAAAGGAGTTGGCTTGGACCAAGAAGACCAGGTGAAACATGAGGACTGGGGACAGCTGGTGCCCAGAGCTGCCAGGTAGGGTGGGAGAGAGGGGAGAAGAGGGACCAGGACAGCAAGAAATAACCCCTCCCCGACAGCAGACCCAGGCCGGGGTGGAGGACCCTCACCAGAAGTTGGGGCTGTGAGAAGGCTGCAACCAGCATCCAGTGGGCCAGGAGGTGACACACTGGCTTCAGCAGGGCCCAAGACCCAGTGCCTTCCCGGTTCCCCACCAGCCCCAAAGGGACTGCTCTCTCTTCCTCTCTTGGAGATCTGCCCCTGTTCCTGTCCCCCTGGGGTCCAGCCTCAATCCCCATACCTTTTCTTCCTCCTGTACCACCCTTTCCCAAGGACCCTAATGGGCAAACCCTTTTTCATTGCTCAAACAAAAATTGAATCTCTGCCCCCTTCCCTGAGCACCCGATAAGCTCCCCTGCTCAGGGGCTTCCTGACAACCTCTCAGAGGGGTCAGCCAGGGCCCAAGGCCTTCAGTCTCCCTTAAGGATGGGTCTGCTCACTGCATTCTTCTCTATCTTCACCTCCTCCAAAGCCACATGGAACTGCACACTGGAGCCTGGACATACTCCAGCTTTCCAGCCTCTGGGCTTTTGCTTAGGCTGTTCCCACTGCTTGAGATGCCCTTCCTTACCACGTCCCCCTGGCTAAATCCATCCTGTGCTTCAAGGCCTCTCTGAAACATCACCTCCTCCAAGAAGTCTTCCTAGGCTTGAGCTGGGAGTCCTCTACGTTTCCTGGGAACTCTGAGTCCTTAAACTGCAGCTCCCCAAGCCCAGCCCACTCTCTACTCAGGGGTGTGGCAGTTACCAGAATTCATATCTTCTCCTCCCTATTTGATTCCTTGAGGGAAAGTTTGCGTCAAATTGCTATCAGTTGTCAATAATTAAATGGCGAATGAGCTTTTCACAACTGTCATCAGGACTTTCACAAAATCTCAGGGTTAGAAGTTACCTCAGAGTTCATCAAGCCCAGGTCTCCCTATCGTTCGTTTATTTATTCATTCATTCAATCATCTGATTGAGCAGCACTATGTGTCAGGCACTGTTCTAGGCACTAGAGCTACATTAGTGAGTAAGACAAAGACCTCTGTCCTCCTGGAGCTTAGGCTCTTTTGGTGGTACGCATGATAAAGAAAATAACGCAGGGACTGGAGAGGTATTTCAGATGGGCCTACCAGAGCCCTTTCTGAGGCGACCTGAATGAGGGAGGGGAAGAATGTTCCAGGCCAGGGGAACATCATGAGCAAAGCCCTCTAGGGTAGGGAGAGCAGCAGGGAATGAGGTCAGAGGAGCAGGGAGGGTTGGGATCAGGTGCGGGAGGCCTGGAGAAGATGGTGATGGAAGAGGACAGAGCAAGGGAGTAGCATGCCCTGGACAGGGGTCTCCTCCATAGTGTCCCTGCTGGGCAGTCCTGTCCGGGACAGGACAGCCCACTGCTTTGCTGGGAAGAGCTGATGCTTACAGGGTCTTCCTCGGGTAGAATGAAATCTGCCCCCAGGAAGCTTTCATTTCAAGTGGTTTGTTCCACCACTGAGCAAGCTGGGGAGCCCAGACTGCTCCCAGATACCCCGGCATCCCAGCTCGCAAGGTCTGATTTCTCAGGGCCCTACTGGATCCAGCACGCTCCTCTTGGCAGCGGGGTCCCCAGTCCCCTCCTGAGCTGGGGATAAAGTGACCGACTGTCTTTGTCTGCCTGGGATGTGAAACTTTCAGTGTTACAACTGCGAACGGCTGGGACAAAGCAGGATTGGTTTGCATTGGCTACTCCGGGGGGGTGGGGGTGGGGGGGACGACACCACATGGGAACAAGAGGGCTGGGCAGGGCGGGCAGTCCTGGTCACTCAACCCACCTAACCCAAAGGAAGCTTCTTACAAGGTCCAGACCCAGCCGTGGGCGAATTAGTCCGTGTGCACGTTCAGAACTTTCCATCCCACCCATTCCAGTTCATCAGTTCAGCCTGACCCGTCATGTGAGCTGGGGAGATTTTGCATAATGAGCCTACACTTAGGTCTACACTTACTTAGTCGTTTCTTCTACTATGCAGCCTGAGAAGGCATGGTCACCAAGAAGGACGGTTCAGGGTTAAACAAGGCTCAGAACAGTGTGTGTAAATGGGGTGCAGGGAGGAGTGGGGGGGGTATAGAATATATGTGTACTTCTCCTATATGCATAAAGTATTTCAGGAAAATTTCCCCCAAATCTAGTACATTGATTGCCTCTGGGGAGGGGCTGTAGGTAGAAGGAGGACCCGGGTGGGAGGGGACAGTCATCATGCACCTTTTGTACCTTTTGACCCATGCAAAATATACAACTTTCCCATAAATAAGTAAATAAGTAAACACATGAATAAACATTTAAAACATAGTCAATTCCTCAGCCGAGTCTTCCATAACCAGGCCCCCAGAGTCGGTCCCTGTACCAGCTGTCTTGGCCCCTGTCCTTCTGGTGCGGACACGTGTCACAGTGGCCACTAAATCCTATCTGGTGCAATTAGTTGTTTAATGTCTGTCTTTCCAACTTGACTAAAGGTGCCAAGAGGATGGGGAACTTGTCCATCCCTTTTACTGCAGCACCTGATGCCTGGCACAGAGTAGGCGCTCTGGAAGTGATGACTGCCCTGATGAGTTCATTATTAATGTGACATGCCTACCAGTGCCATCTCTTTCCAAAGGGCATTCCTTAGGTTCACATCCACACTTAGGAAGCAGGACTTCCTCTCACTGCTCACAAAGCAGCACCCTTCCAACCCTGGGTTAGGGTTCGAGGGAGTCAGACAGACTTGGGTTGCTGTGTGGTCTTGGGCAAATGCTTAATCTCTCTGATGTACATGGTAACACCTCCCTTAACTGGTGGTTGTGAGGGCTAATGAGACCACCAAGGCAGAGCACCCAGGATGTCACCTAGCACCTGGCATGCACTCAATACATGCAACCTCTTAGCTGTTTTCTCCATCCCCTCCAAGATTCTCATCTCATCCTGCGGGAGCCCTTTTATTTTGTAGACTCAGGAAGCCTGATCATCTCACACACGCTGGCTCTGGGCCTCCTTCCTTGTCCAGATTCTGCCCATCACCCCCTAAAGGATCTCTGATTCAGCCAGGCCTCCTGTGGACACCCTCGCCCCTCGCAGCCCCCACGCACACTGGGGAAGACTACTGGTTCCTTGACTCACCGATGTGCTTCCCATACATGTGGTAGAAGAAGGAGACGCAGTAGAACTTGGCGCTGGCATTATACAGGGGACTCACCAACCGTGCACGGTCCCCTAGCTCCCGGGGCCTTGATGTTTCTATGAACATGTAGTAGCCTGTGGGGGATGGGGGGAGGGGGAAGATACACCAACAGCCTCTTCCTCGCCCCACCCAGGCCTCTTTCCCCACTTCCCACCACCACCACCACCACCACCACCCTTCTTTCCTTCTCTGCCTCAGGCTCGGGTGTCTGAACCCGGGTGCCTCACCCCAACCCAGCCCATCCTCCCTGCCTCACAGCGTGGGAGTCTAGGCCAGCCTTTACCAATTCTTAGCTCTACTGAAGTTCTTTTCCATCCTGATTCTGTTAGGACAGAGCTATGCCTCCCCCTCAGACAGCTTCCTGAGGGCAGGGCTGTGTCTCCCCTCAGACTGGGGCTCCCTGAGGCAGGGCTGTGTTTCCCCTCAGGTTGGGGCTCCCTGAGGAAGGGGCCGTGTCTCTCCATTAGACTGAGGCTCCCTGAGGCCAGAACCCTGAAGTAGTCCTCCATTCCTAGCAGCAGGCCATGTCCTCACCCTCAGGGGTGCCGCTGATATCAGTTGGGGGACCGGTGTTGGGAGAACGCTTGGGGTTCTGGGTGAGGGCATTCTGCCGTGTCCAGTCAAAGTTGTCTGTCAGGTCCTGGGTGTAGCCACAGATCTTCTCATCCTCAAAGTGGCAGGTGTTGTCTGCATTGGGGTGGGAGGTTGGGGACAAGACAAAGAGGGTCAGGCTCCTCAGGCCCTCTGGTCCAGCTTTGCCCTCCCTGGCCACCTGAGGCAGCTCCTAAGAATCCCAGTAGTGGGCCCAGGGTTCCAGGGCTTGAGAAACTAGGCAACAGGACCCCTGACTAAATTGTTCCCAGAACAGGCCTTCTTAACCATTTTGTGCCACCACAGACCCTCTGGCATCTAGTGAAGTTCAAGGGCCCCATCTCAGAATAATGATTTTAGATGCATAAAATAAAACACAAAGGATTACAGAGGAAATCAATGATACCGAAATAGAGTTGTCAAATATTTTTAAACAAATTTGTTATATAAGTGGTCTTCTTTATTATCTAATTAAATCACAAGATCTAGTGTTAGGTCTAATAACTGCTGTAGTTTTGAAATAATAATGAATGTAAATGACATTTAGAGATAGCTGCAACATCTTTAAGGTGATGTGAAAACATCAGATTTCTGAGACAAAGTCACAAGTACTAATTATACTACTGTGGGTGGTTGCCTGCATTCATCAGTCAAGGAGATATTACATTTCTGCTAGAAGTTAGGAAAAGTTAAGTAAGTGTTCCAGGTTCATGGAGCCCCTGAATTCTATACACAAATTCTTTGGGGACCTATGGATCTCAAAATAAGGACTCCTGCCCCAGGGAACAGGGGCTATAGATTAACCTGGCCTTTCTTTTGAGGGCAGTGAGTAATGCTGAGTGGGGACAAAAGGCTCTGAGTTAGAGATGTCCCCCAACTCCTCCCCTGCCCCCTACCTTTAAGCACCAGAATAAATCCTGGGTGCAAATATCTCCAAGCCTAGCCCTGTTCCCTTCTGCTTCTCCTTCCAACTGCTTGCTTCTACCCCATTGTCTCTCTGATATCTCTTGGGGCCCTTTCCTCCCACAGAGGAGTTTCTATGTCCCTAAGGGGAAGGAGAAGTGGGTGGGGGTATCTCACCTGATAGACTGGGAGAATTGATGGCTGAGAAAGCAAACAGGAAAACCAAGTCAGAATCGAGTGGAGCTGTGCAGAGGGTGCCTGAACTTAGAACCAGAGGACAGGGTCCCCAGAGCCAAGACTGGGGGCCAGAGGGGACTGGCCTGCAGTGACAGAGCAGGACATTGAATAGTGGGGAGCCCCAGGCTCAGCAACCATGTGGGGAAGGTGGAGCAGATCCCCTGGGTATAAGGTGGGCCCTCCTTCCCACCACCACCACCACCCACCACCACCTACGCTCTGTGTAGTGGATGACGCGGGAGGCCATGTCACCAGCCCCATAGGTGGTATAGGGCGTGAGGCGGACCTCATAGCTGTGGGGCACACGGAGGTCAGACAGAATGTACTCCAGCAGCTGCCCCTTCTCCACACGCCGCACTGGGATGGCCTTCACCATGGCATTGTGCTGATTCAACTGTAGATAAAGGGAGTTCCCATATGCTCAGCAGGCCATGCCCTGGCCCTGGTATGACTCGGGGGGTCAGCGTCAAGGAGCAGGAAGAGCAAAGGACTAGGAAGCCAGGCCCTCAGTTTCCTCATCTGTGGGATAGAGCAATCACCCCTTCCATGCTTGGGCTGTCTTAATAATAAGTGACAGCAACAGCTATTGAACACTTTATGAGTGCTAGGCACTGTTGTAAATGCTTTGCAATTATCAGCTCATTTAATCCTCCAAAAATAATGATCCTATGAAGTAGAATATTATAATTTTACCCTCATTTTATAGATGTGGAAGCTGAGGCCAAACAGATATAGCTTTCCCAAGTTCATACGGAGCTAGATTTTAGCTTAAGCAGTCTGCACTAGAGTCACACTCTTCCCTTCCATCAAACTGTCCCCGGGGCTGGGCAGAACCACATGGAATTAGACAGGACAGGAGACCAGCATAGTGGTTCTGGCCTTGCATTCTAGAGGCCCTGCGGGTGAGACTTTAAGCTCATGCCTTAAGTTTCTGCTGCTAGCTTCTGAGGTAAAAGAAGACTCTGCATTTCATGAGCAGAGCTGGCTCTGCCCCCCCACCTCCGCTAACCCTGCCCAATTCTCAGGGCTGTGCCCAGAGCATGGGTCCAGAGGGGACAGGTCCCTAGCACCTCCCAGCTCCTGCTGCTGTGTCCAGGACACTTTCCCTATGGCAGTGAAGAGTTGTCTATAAGGGTCAGTGTGTCCCAGCCCCATCTCCAACCCCTTCCCCTGGCTCAATGAGCACCTCCACGGTCAGCTGGCATCCAGACCCCCGTCTCCCTTGGCCCACCTGGCGGACACTGAGTCTGTAGTTGAGCACAGGGTCGACAGTATCCGGCTCCCTCTGGGTCCACTGCAGCACGTAGGAGTAGTTCTTGGACAGCTTGTGGCTGCGGGTGGGGTTGGGGGTGTCGAAGTAAAACTCCGGGCTGTAGGCTTTGGCTGAGAGGGCAGGGAGGGGGGCATGGGGCCGAGGGGGGCGGAGATGGGGAGAGACACAGAGATAGGAGGTGTGGGAGAGGGACACAGAGAGGATGGAGTAAACAGAGAGGGACGATGGGGAAGACAAAGAGAAGGGAATAATGTGAGGAGAGGAGATGGGGGGAGAGATTGCGGAAAATGAGGGTGGGGTAGGAGGGACAATGGGGGATGGAGAAAAGGGAGATTAGGAATTCCAAGATGTGGTGTTGGTGAGAATGGAGCGGAAAGTCCAAGGAAAAGAAAGAGCAAAGAGAAATTTGGGAAGACAGAAGGATATTAGAGAAGACACGGAAAGAGGATTGGGGAAGACAGGAAGAAGGGTCAAGAAATTGAGGTATAAGGAAGAGAAGACAGAGGGGAAGGATAGCGCGAGGCCAAAAAGGTGGGGAGACAGGGAAAGTATGGGAGAACAGGGGAGAGGGGAAGGAGGTGGGAAATGTCACAGGGGCCTCTGGCTGGCAGGGCTGGGGAGGTGGCCGGTGACCTGTGGTGCTAGCCCCCTGCCGTTGAGTGAAGGGATCCAAACAAGAGCTAAAAGGACATCCAGTCAGTCCGGGGCTGTTGGGACAGCTGAGAGTGCAGTGGAATGGGTACAGGCATGCCTGGAATTCTTCTCAGGGAGGTGCCACCAGCTCTGACAAGTAACAGACTCTTACCAATGGAAGGAGGAGAGACGGGGGGTCGGCAACCCCATCAGCCCCTCTCTGTTTCCTGAGCGCCTCACCACGACCTCCATCCCTTTCTGACCCACACACTCCTGTCTGCAGCCCCAAACAGTCCACCCGGGAATGACTTGATGAGGAGATAGGACTGAGAGGGATTTCTGGGCACCGAGTGGCCTGAAACTCTAAGGCGACAGACAGCTCAGAAAATATGTACTGGCTGTCCCAGCACCACCCACAAGGTCCCAGAGAAGCTATTGAGGGGCGTCTTCGCTCCCCTAACCTACAGCTCAGGCCCCTCACACTGGGCCAGCGGTCTGGAAAACGGGAGGTTCCACATCCCCAGTCTCTGGAGCCAAAGACGAGGGAGGAGGGGCTTGAAACTAGACGCCTGAGATGGGGTGGTGCGTAGGGCTTGAGTGGGCGGGTCTAAACCTGGTGTAGGCGGGGCTAAAGGGGAAATGTGGAAACAGATGGAAGCGGAGAGCTGGGATTGGATAAGGCTGGAAGAGGCGGAGCCTATACCACAAGTAGGCGGAGCCTATGCGCTGTTTGGATGGGCCTTTAAAGGGAAGGGCCCAGACGTGGTGCCCGCGGGCTAGAGGGGGAGTAGTGAAGGAGGAGCTTGAAAGGAGTGGGGCTAAGTCCAAGGAAAAAGGCAGAGCTACAAAGGGCGGGGCTTAGGACAGGTATAGGTGGGCCTTGAAACGGGAAGGCCTAGACCTAGAGTGGGCAAGAGTGGAGTGGGCGGGGCTGCAAGAGGAGGTCATTGCTAGATCCAGGTGGCATGGGCGGGTCTTGGACAGGCAGGGGCCTAAACCTGGCGTAGGAAGGAAGGGGGCGGGGCCCAGGCCGGGTGTGGGCAGGGCAAGAGTTGGGGCGGAGCGTGGGCCCAAGTGGGCGTGATTCGGTGGGGCGGGACCCACTGGATTCTCACCCGAGACCTGGAAGAGGCAGGCTGCCGAGCCCACGTCGTTGGAGACGCTGCACTCGTAGCTGCCGCTGCTGTCGCGGGTGACGGCGTCGAGGCGCAGCTCGGAGTGGTCGGGGGCCTCGGCGGCGACGGGGACGGATGGCGGCGGAGACAGCAGCTGCCCTTTGAAGCGCCACACGGCCGAGGCGATGCGCTGGGGGCTGCCACGGAGGAGCGAACAGCGCAGGAGCACAGGCCTGCCCAGAGCCTGGCGCACATCCTGGGAGCTGGGCTCCACTTCCGGCGGGACTGGGGGCGGGGGCGGCGGTCAGCTGGGCTCAGGGGTTTCTGAGGAGCCGCCCCACGGGGGAGGCGACGCGCTGGCCCTACTCCCGTGCCCTTTGGAAAAGTTCTCAGGGGGGATACACGCTCGCAACATACTCATGCAATAGCCACACTCATACCTCCCCGACCTGTAGATACCTACCCCTTCCCAGCCATTCCTTCCAGCCATGCTTCCTAGCCTGGGCTCTATTCATGCCTCAAATGGCCCCTTCAGCTCCCATGTAATGAAAAGCAACAGAACGTCGGGGTTTAGAACCTGATCCCTGGAGCTAGATGGCTGTAGGTTCAAATCCCGGCCCCTCCTCTAATTAGCTGTGAGAATTTACACAAGTTACTTAACCTCTCTGTGATTCAGTTTCCCAATTTGTAAAAAAATATGTCAAGGTGTAGAAGAGGGTTTAGAGGTATCAACATTAGGTGGAGAGGTTTGGTTGGACTGGGGTGGGTGAAGGGGTGAAGAAGGGCCAGGCTTGACTGAGAGCAGGGAGGGACAGCTTGCGAGGTAGTCCGAGTGGGGAGGTGGGACTCACACTGCACGTTCAGCTGCACCTGGGCTTCTCGGGGGCGCACATTGAAGCCATTATAGCGAGCCGTCTGGCAGCGGTAGGTCCCACTCATGTCGCGGCTCACGCGCTCCAGCCGCAGCTTCCCATCCGGGGTCTCCTCCAAGGGCAGCCCGGAGGGCAGCAGCGCAGCCTCCTTGTCCACGCGGGACCACAGCACGGGCGGCCGCGGCTTGCCGCGCACCTCGCACTGCAGCTCGGCGGGCGAGCCCTCGCGCACGGTCACCACGGCCCTGCCCTTGGGCACGCTGATGGTGGGCGGCACTGGGGAGGGGGCGGTAGGAGCGGGGTTAGAGCTACCCCCTAGCCTCCGCTCTGGAGCCTCCCCTTCCCACTCCAGACCTCCCACGGATCTCTCAGCATCTCCAAGCAGAGCTCACCTCCCCAAATCCTTTCCACCTCCTGGTCTCTACCTCAGGCTCTCCCAGCTCGGAAAGGGAGCGGACGTCGTCCTGGCCTATTCCTTCTTTCCCCTTACCTCAACGTTTTGGGGAGCCTACCTTTTGAACAGTTCTGCTAAATATCTCCTCCCTCAACCCCCTCTCTCCTGCCTGCTGGCCCTGCTGTACTTAAAGGCCCCCTCTTCTCTTTATGGAGTGTTATCACAGGTGGCTAGTCTGTACCCCCAACATCCTTACCCCTTCATCCAAAGTAATAAAATATCTGGGCTTTAGCAGAGCACACAGCCAGAATAAAGACTATCTCCCAGCCTGACTTATGGCTGGCTGTAGCCCTGTGACTCAATTCTGGCCTTTGGGATTTGACAGAATATCAGCGTCTTTAAAGGGGAGAGGCCATGCAGCTCTTTCCCTCCTTCCTGCTGGCTGGAATGCAGGTGGATGACTGCAGCTGGAAATGTCATCGTGGACGAGGTGGCACATGCTAAGGATAGTGGAACAGCAAGACAAGATGGAATCTGGGGCCCTGAGGACTTGGTAGAGGAGAGCAGCTATTCCAGCAGGCACTGAAGAAGAAATATATGGCTAGCTTGTTTAAGCCAATTTTATTTAGGGGTTTTCTGTTAGTCATAGCCAAACCTAATCCAACCCAACACATTGCCCAAGTGGAGGGTCTTTTCAAGGTTTCTATGGGTCCCATCTCACATCACATCAAACAAATTAAAATGTCCCACATTAAATATAAATTGCAAATAACTCTACAAGGCATACTGAAGTCCAGTTACCTAGTTAGTATAATTTATACTCTACAAACATTTATATACTTATTGGCTTTAATTTTGCAGTTTTCTCTGTATTTTGAAGCCAATTAATTTATTTTTCTAGGTCTAAACCAGGGGTCGGCAAACGGTGGCTCTTTGGGTATGTATATGTGGCTCTGAAGTAAAATTGAAAATGAAAATAAAACTATCACAGTTTCATTTATAAAATTTTTAAAGGATATTATTTACATAATGGTGATTTCGTTTGTTTTATGGCTGTAGAATAATTTTTAAATTGTTGTGAGGGACAGGATTGGCTCTTTCATCTCAAAAGTTTGCTGACCCCTGGTCCACGGGCCCTTAAAAAACTTCCATGCCCTAGGCATCAGGCTTATGAGCCAAATGGAGGAAATGGCTCCGTGCCTCTGTTGATTACCCCATTTCTAAAACATCCCAGCCCCCAACCCTTCTGCGTAGTCCCCACAGGCCAATGGGCTATCTCCTCCCACCCCTGAGGCTGCAGTGCCCTCAGGGTAAAGCCCAGACTCGGCTCTGCAAACAAGGCCCTTGTGCTCTGGCTTCTGCCACCTGCCAACCTCATCTTCCCTCTCCCATCCTGTGTCTCAGCTGTGGGATCCACTTGTAAGGAACATAATCCCTGGACACACCAAGTCTCATATACCTTGGTGGCCTCCCTGTCCCTCCTCTCCTGGGCTTGTCATCCCCCCTAGCAAATGCTCACATGGAGAATGGCTCCTCTGAGAACCTTCCCTGGCATCTCCTGGCAGCCTGGTACTCCTTCTGTCATGTTCCCCAGGCTCTGGGGAACCTGCCTTTAGCAACTATGTCCTATCTAAGGCTTGCCCTTCCAATTCCTGCTTTATCCTAACAGATGTCTCCCAGGTTAGACAGTGGGCTCTGAGGATGGGCCTGTGGCGTTTGTCTGGGTCCCCTGCTCCTCACCCAGGGCCTGGTACACAGCGATTAGCGAAATAGGTTTGTGGAATCTATGGAGGCCTGGCCCACTCCTAAAGCCCAGCTCAGGTCAGTCTCCTTCTGGAAGCCTTTTCTGACCCCGTCTAGTTTCACCTGGCCTCTCCCTGAGCAGAATGTCAGGATGGAAGGGGCCTCTGAGGCCATCTGGTTCAATGTCTCACAGAAGAGAAACTGAGGCCCACGGAGTTAAAGAGGCTGGGCTTAAGGCAGCCAGCTCCTCAGTGCAAAGTGCTGGGGACTAGCATGAGGTTCTAGAGACCCTCTCTAAAGGCAGCCCCTCCAAACTCCTGTCATTCTCAAAGTGTCAACCCTTCAGAGATGGCTGAGTGCAGGCTCTGTATCAGACTGCCTGGGTTCCAATCCCAGCTCGACCGCTTACTGCTGTGTTACCTTCGGTAAGTTTTTTAAAACTCTCTGAGCCCGTTTCTTCATCTCTAAAAATTGAATATCAGCCATCTATCCCATAAGGTAAATCATGAAGGCGGGTGAGGGAAATATAAAATCATCAGAACACATAGTAAATACTCAATAAATGTTAGCCATTGTTATTTATTACTAGAATAGAAACCCGAACCCCCTGGATAACCTGGCCCCTGCTGACCTCTCCGCTCTCATCTCACTCCAATCTTCCAGCCGCATTCTCTTTCCTTCAGCTCTCCAAAAGGCCCACTGCACTTGCCTGCCTCAGTGCTTTTTCACATGCTGATTCCTTGGCCTGCCTTCCTTCTCCACCCTCCCTTGCTCTCCTTTGCCTCATAAAATCCTGCTCCTCCCTCAGATTTATGTTAGGAAACTCTTTCCTGACTCTCATGCATCACAGTTTGCAGTGATATAAATTTGTGAGACTATCTGAAAAGTGTTTGCCTTCCTACTTAGTTCAATGGGGGCAGAGCGTATCTTGCTCACCACTCTACCCCAGCACCTAGCACAGCACCTGGCATATAGTAGGTGCTTAATAAATCTGTACGGCATAAAAAAATAGTACTCTCTCCATTCTGGCTTCCCTTTCCCAAGCTGTTGTCCCACCTCCCCTCTGGGGGCCTCACCAGCTCTCTCACACCTCCCCAGTGCCCCTTCAGCTGCCCACCTGTCTCAGAGGAGATGTTGACCTCGACGCTCAGGTCGGGCACAGGTGCCCCTGGGAAGGAAGCCACACACAGGTAGGTGCCGTAGTCGCTGAAGTGCAGGTCAATGAGCTCGAGGCTGCTCGTGACGGCAGGCAACTCAGGGTCGTTTCGAGTCACCAGTAGCCTCTTGGACATGCGTGCCGGCTTGCTGTTCTTGAACCACTGATAGGTCACCTTCTCCTGGGGCACTGCATCCACATGGCACGACAGCTTCAGATCCTGGCCCAGCTGTATATTCTCGCTCTCTTTGATCACATCTGGGGTGATCTGGAATGTGGCGTTCTTCATGGCTATAGGTGGATGGGGAGGGAAGGGGGGCTGGGGCTGGCTCAAAGCCAGGATCTATGTCCCACCCCCATTCAGAGCCAGCTCCTTCCCTCAAAGTGGCCCTCCTGTAGGTTGGTAACTACTGTATTTTTGGAACTTGTTCTGCTTGCTCAGATGCATTTTTAAAAGTTCAGAAAAGCTCGCTGCGGAAAAGTGGGTTTAGTAATCATTAGAGTCACTGCTGCCTGAACAGACACTATGTGAGAGGCACTGTTCCAAGCACTTTACGCAGGTTTACTCACTTAACTCATCCCACCATCTGTAGAGAGGCACTTCAGTGTCCCCGTTTTACAAAGGAGGGAACCTAGGGGCAGGCAGTTTAATTCAGAGCCTGTACTCTTAACCGCTGTACTACTTTATTTTTATTCTTGTTTTAAACCTTGAACTTGCAAAATACAAATTTGGGGAGGATGCACCAGAATGTAATAGTGGTTCTATCTAGAAAGCGGGACTGAGGGGAATTGGGGGGAAATTTTAATTTGCACATTTTACCCTTTTGTGCGATTTGACTCTTTGCAACAAATGTGTGTAATTTTTATAATGAAAGCCCAGTGCAATCATTTTACATGTAATTACATAAAAATAGAGTTTAGAAAGAAAAAGGTCTTGCTTTTTTAAAAAATCTGAATATTGATGGATGTAATCCAAGAGTTAGACAGAACTCTTAATACTGGGTGCTAATTGGATAGGACACTGGTACAACAGCCATAAACCAGGATTGGGCTGGACAAAGCAGGCTGTATGTCACCCCAAGAAGTGACCGTAAGTATTTGGTGTAAATTGAGATCTCATCAACCCAGGTTTTAAAGGCCGAATGAAAACTAGTGGAGAAAAATAATCTTCTGATGGTATAGTACCATTGAAGGAAAAAATAGTCATAAGATAGCCACAAACTTGCTACTTTCTTTCTCACTCTGATTAAGTAAAATGTCATAGAGAGCTAGCTTCTTACTGTGTGGAAAGTCAGAGAGAGACTAGTCAGTGAAAGATGAACAACAACAACAAAAGAGCCCATTTCTTCAAAAGACTCTCAATCAAATTTGGCAGAATCTATAGAGCAGGAAACAGCCTGAATCTTTAAAATATATACAATAAAAAAGTAAACAAACAAACAAACATCCTAAAGCTTCATAATTTAAAGTTTTCTCCATGAAGCAGAATAGCAAAATCAAGATCATATTGAGCAACTACTGCTAACTACTGAGGCTGAGATTTAGTAAGGAAAGTATAATTCTTTAGATTGTGCTCCAAGTTTTGTATCATTTTAACATGTAATAATTATCTTCAGACTCACTGAAATGCTTTTCTAATAAATATTTACATATGTTATATGGAAATGAATGTGTGCTAGTTTTACTTTAACTCAGTGAATCATGTAGAAACCAGGGTACAAAAAAAAAAAAAAAGGGCAGGAAATTTCTCTTGAAGACTGGTAGTCCACATCTAGCTTTTTATAACCTCAGTTTCCCAATCTCAAAAAAAAAATGCAGGTAATCAACACCAGCCCTTCCTACCTCTTGGATTGTTGAGGTTATATTTGGATATGTAGACTGTAAGCTGTAAATAAAACTACTCATATGTAAATTTTAGTCCTGCCATCTGCTGGCAGATGCCTGAATTGCAGGGAAATAAAAGTGGCTGGAACATGCCTCATCAGCATATCTGACCTACCCAGGGGAAGCAGACAGGCCCCTCTCCCCTTTCATTGGCAGCTCCTGGAGGACAGGGACCCTGTCTGCCTCTGACTTGCCTCCCACCCCTCCAGAGCCACGTACATCGCACCAGCAGGTTGACGGTCTTCTTGGCGGGGTTGCCCACATTGTTGGTGGCTGTGCAGTTGTAGTAGCCAGAGTCCCGGGCCTGCACTGAAGGGATGCTGAGGGTGCCACCCTGGGCCAGAGCCCCCAGGGGAAGAGGGCCTGGCCCATGGGACCACTGCAGCTGGGGTAGGGGATCACCGCCTGTCAGCAGACACTGCACCGTCACATTCTCCCCAGGGTTTACCACCAGAGTTTCGTTCACAGACAGCTTCAGGGCTGGTGGTGCTAAGACGACAAGGAGGTGGGGTCTTAGGGTATCATGAGGCAGGGCTGGATGTGAGGGATACAGGGAGCTAGGGAAACCATGAGGTTGGGGAAGACCTGGCGGGAGACGAAAGGGCAGAAAGCAGGACGCAGGCAGAGGGGAAGAGGGGACGCACTAGCGGTGATGTGCCTAGAGTCCTGTGTGGAGTGAGGCACTGTCTCCTGGTGGGGGAGTCAGCTCAGGCGGGCAAAGGTATGGGCGGGAAAGTGCCTGTACCCGTGGTGTTGGTGAGCCGGAAGGTGATGGCCTTGTCCGGGATGCCGCACACGTTGCGTACAGACACCTGGCAGGTGTAGCTGGCGTAGTCCTGGGGCCGAAGGTTCTTCAGCTTCAGGACCTTGGTCTCCCCCTGGGCAACAGTGGACCGCTGCTGTGAGGGGTCTGCTTGGGTCTCCAGGGGCCCCTCACATATTTACCCAGCACCAGAGGCTAAAGCAAATAACGATTCTAACTCCTGTCTTTCTCGACCTCCACACCATTTGTCCACAGGGAGCCCAAGCCTCAGTAGATGCTGTACTCTCCGCACCCTGGGCTTCTCTGGGTCTGAGGTTGCCCTGGCCAGAACCAGACTTCACTTTGGGAAATGGAGGGGTAAGGAGGGAACCCTGCTCTGTCTTACAGCCCATACACACATGGAGCTGGCTCCAAAGGCCATGCCACAAGTGACACTCTGACAGCCACCTAGGAAAGCCACTTCTGAAAGCCCTCTCTGGTAGGATGGCTTCATCACCATTTCCTGGGACTGTAGGGGGTCTATGGGAAGTGGGATCATCTCTCTGCCTGTGCCTGCCCATGGGTTCCCAATACTCTGCCAGCCAGCAGTGGGCAGGGATGACTTGCCTGCCTCTAGGGGGTGCTTTTCCTAACTGGCACTGTTCCCAAAGAACATGTTGCCTTGGGGACTCTCCTGTCCCCATCACCGTTCCCTGAGCTTTCTGTCCCGATTTCGTCTGCCCCAGGGTGTCTGAAGCCCAATCAGCATGCATGCTTCTGACATCAGAACAGAGCTGCTGAAGTCAGGGCAGCCCCAAGAACTCCAGATGGCAAGGCCTCAGCCCCCATGCCCCACCCCCTTGATGGGTGCAGGAGGAAGACTGTAGGATAAATCCCAAGGACACCAGGCCAGCGACTGCCCATCCTGACCTGGGTGTAGAGGGGCTCGTAGATGTCCACCCCATTGTCCTGGCTGTGGGACAGGGTGTCAGAGCCCCTCTTCCAGATGAAGCGAGCAGGCGGGTTGGAGTTGACAGTGCAGCGCAGGAACACCGTCTTCTCCTGGTAGAAGTTGCCTCGAACATCACTCACTGTCTGGTGCACCGTCAGCACGGGCTCATCCAGGTCTGCAAGGGCACAGCCCCAGGAGCGTCAGGACTGGGTGGCCCCAAGGCGGGGAATTGGGCTCCTGGCAGGAAGAACTGAGCCACCCTCAGGGATGCTTCCAGGGAGCTAGGTATTCTCCCAGCCCTGCAAGCCTGGCCAACCTTAAGAGTCAGGGGACTGAACTTAATGACTTCTCAGCAGTCCCTCTCCAGGAACCTGCATGGGGTTGTCTATCTTCACTCTCCCATCATGGGGTGGAGGAAGCAACTGCAGACTGGAAACTGGGAAACCCTGGTTCAAATTCCAGGCTAGCTATTAATTTGTAGTGTGACCTGCCTAAGTCCCCTCTCTGCCTGTTTCTGTTTCCTCACTGGTAAATTGGACTAGATTGGTGGTTCTCAGCCCTGTTTGCCCAATAGAATCATATGGAGATTTTCTTTTTTAATATTGATGCCTGGCAATGCTCTTTAATGGTGTCAGGAATCGGAAGAGTGATTGCCTCTAAGGAGATTATTGACTGGGAGGGGTCATAAGGGAGCTTTCTAGGGTCCTGAAAAGTCTCTTGAACTGAAAGGTGTTTACACATGCATATACACATGTAAGAATTCATTAAACTGTACATTTAAGATTAGCTCACTCTATTGGATGTAGGTTAATCCTCAATAATAATAAAAAACGTTTAAGAAAAAAAATCCCAATGTCGGAGCCAAACCCCGAATTAATTCCATCAGAATCTCTGGAAGTGGCACCCAGACACCACTATTTTTAAAAAAGATCCTCTGGAGATTCTAATGTGCAGCCAGGGTTGTGAACCAAAGGCATTACTATTCCACATTCTAACATTCTACAACGGATGTTCCCACATCCCACCATTCTGTCCTCTTTCCACAGCCCGCTTGGATAAAAGTCATTACCAAGGCCTTGGGCAGAGGTGGGGCATTGGTGAAGTCCAGGCCATGCCTGCCAGCCTCTTCTAGCACCAATAACTAGGGAAATGACCCTCAGCCCCAGGGTTTGGCAGGCTCCTGGGTGACTGATGGGGTACAGAAGAGAGGGTCTGGGGTTCCATTGCTCACCACTCTATTGGGTCCCACTTGGGAGGCATGGGGCATATTTAATAGTTAGATTCGTTAAGATGGTACCAGACAGGCCACTGGGCCTGGCCCCACTGCTTCTGGGTACCTGGTTCAGCCTGGATGGGCACAGAGGCAGGTGGCAAGCAGGGAGACAGCCTCTTGGGCTTAAGGGATATCCATGGATGGCAGGTAGGGACTGGGGGCTTTCCATTCAAGCAGTAGGCAGGACTGAGGGGTGCTTAGTCCTGCATGTTGTCAGGTAAGGAAGTTTCAGAGCTTCCCTGAGACAAAAACAGAGGCATGAGGTACCGTGGGAAGGGTATTGGCCCACAGTGAAGAGACCTATGGCTGTGAGCAAGTCAGGAGTCCTTGGTACCTCAGTTTCTTCATCTGTGGAATGGGTATAATGCAAACTGTACTGCTTTCCCTGACTACTTTACAGGGATGTTGCAAGGTGCATATGGGATTACAGATGGAAATGTGTGAGGGGTATGGGGTAGTACACATCGGGGGAACAGCAGAGATGCCCCTCTCTAGCAGAGAAAGTCTCTTCTCCACGAAGGTGCCTCTTCTCCACCGCACCCCACCCCCACTTCTCCTTCCCAGCCTGAGGCCCGGAGCAGGACAGGGAGGGCCCCGACTCACACTGCACATCCACGCGGATGGACTTGATGGCGGGCACACCCACACCATTCTCAGCCTTGCAGTAGTAGCGGCCGCCCTGCGTGCGCGCAATGCGCTCAATGCGCAGCGTCTCGTTGAACACCGATGTCTCCTGGAACTTGTCTGATGCGCTGCCAGCAGTCTTGGTCCACCGCACCTGGGTCCGGCCGTTGGGGGATGGGGGGAGGGGCGGCAGAGTCAGAGGCCGCTGAACGCCCTGCTGTGTGCCTCCCCTCCAGCCCCCATGGTTTTCCACAAGCGTGCTAGGGAAATACACAGGCCTAGGAAACTAACTCAAACAGTCTTGTAGGCACAGGAGGGGTATGACGCCTCAGCAAAGAGCCTGGGGAATCGGGGATCAGATGGATGGGGTTTTAAAGAAAGCAGTATAGTGCAGTGTTTGAGAGCACGGATTTGTGGACAAGTTACCCAACCTTCCCTGCCTTCCTTTCCTCAACTGTAAAATGGAGAATATTAACCCCCCACTCCCTACGGTTACTGGGAGGATTAAATTAATGTATACTTAGTACCTGGGAGAATAAGGTTACTCATTTGTGCAAGAGGTCTATGTGGTAGCCAGCCTCCAAGATGGTCCCACGTGATCCCTGCCTCCTGGTTGGTATTCCCACTTTTCTGTAGTCCCCTCCCACTTCGTACCAGGGATGGTCTGTAGAACCATCCCTGCCAGTAGAACCTGGCAGGAGTGATGGTATGTCACTTCCAAGGTCAGATTATAAAAGACTATGATTTCCATCTTGGTTGCTTTCTCCCGTCACTTGCTCTGGAGAAAGCCAGCTGCCATGTCATGAGAAGCCCTAATGGATAGGTGCACAGAGGAGGAAGGGAAGCCCCTGGTCAACAGCCATGAAAGTGAGCCTAGAAGGGGCTCCTCCAGCCCCAGTCAGTCTTCAGTTGAGTATAGCCTTGTGAGAGGCCCTGAGCCAGAGCCAACCAGCTCAGCCACTCTGGGATTCCTGTCCCACAGGGACCATGAGATAATAGGTGTTTGTTGTTTTAAGCCCCTAAGTTATGGAGCATTTGTTATGCGGCAATTGATAACTATAACTATTACATAGTATAGTACCCACTTTTCAGGGTCATTGTGAGGTTTAGAAACAAAGTATGTAAAGAACCTAAGTGTGGTGTCTGGTATATATTAGTCATTCAACAAATGTCTATATTTATTAACATTGTCTTAGATTATGGGACACTATCAAGGACCACACAAGAAACGAGCTACTATTCAAAGTACCAGAGGTTGGGGTGGCCGGTTAGCTCAGGTGGTTAGAGTTCAGGTTCATAGCACCAAGGTTGCCAGTTCGATTCCCACATGGGCCAAGGAGCTGCGCCCTCTACAACTAGATTGAAGACAACTACTTGACTTGGAGCTGATGGGTCCTGGAAAAACACACTGTTCCCCAATAAAATGTCTAAAAAAACCAAAGTACCAGAGGTTTAAGAAAAACTGATCAGTTCTAGGTTACTTTGTCCTAAGGCTTGGAGGATGCGGTAGGGAAGCTTCCATCTTAAAGTTGAGTATGATTGTTTATTACTGAGACAGGACAAGGGCCCTGATCCTGGTGAACAGGTCAGGCCACAGGTCATAAAAAGAACAGGCTGGGAGAAGTAGGTGAAAGGGCAACCTTCTCATGCAGGGAGGGACCACTGCAGGCCATAACGTTTCTACTCTTATCCTTTCACTACCCTCAATTCTACCCTGATAGACCTAGAGGCTACAAAACTTGGAGAAGGCTACAGGTAGTTTCAGGCAATTGATACTTATAACGAAGCATGCTTTGGAGAGAGAACAAAGCCATGAAAATATTTTTCTTTTTGTACTTGACTTTTGTGATTTTAACATGATTTGCTTAGCTGGGGTTTATTTACATACTGCTTAAGACATAGTTTGCTTTATCCATCTAAGGGTTCATACCTTTCTTCAATTCTACAAAACGCTCAGCCTTTATCTCTTTAAACATTACTTCCTCTCAGTTTTCTCTAGTCCCTTCTTCTAAAACGTCTAAGTTTATAGCTAAGTTGTAACTTCTCATTCTACCCTCCTTGTCTCCCAGCTTCCTTTTCGCATTTCCATCTCTTTGTCCTCTCCAGACTGCATTATGGCTGATTTCCTCAACTCTATCATCCAAATAATGAATTTTCTCTTCAGCTATCTCTACGGTATAAAGGCCAAGTTTTTCAAAAGACTCTTTTTTTTCCCCCTAGGATTTCTATTTGCTTTTTTCCGTATCTAACGGATCAGGTTTTATAATCTCCTGTCTTACAGATTCTATTCCTTCTATGAGCTATTCCTTCCACGATGTCTAAACATTTTAAACATACGTATTTTAAAGATCCTTTCAAATTGTTCTATGATCTCCGTTTTCTCAGATATTAATTGTTCAATTATTTGAGTCTATGGATTAACATTTCTGGCACTGTATTTTTAAGTGGGTTTAAAATGTTCGTTCCACAGGCTTATAATTGCAATCAGTGGGGATTATCTTCCACGTAAGTCCCACTTGGGCCCTGACAGGCCTGTCTGTGGTGTAGTTTTGTGGTTGCCTATGTTCAAAATACATGGTTTCACAGGTTCCAAACAGTTTTTATGTTAGTTTCTCAGCTTAGGGTTTCCTCACCGCTTGGATTAGAGCAAGACACAGATAGGTTTAGGCTCATGCTCTCTCACAGGTGACTCTGTTTGCACCCACACCCTGAAGCAGAGAGTCGGCTCCCTGCTGTGACTCTGGGCTGTGGGACAGAGGTCTTCTGGTCCCCATTTATAGGGGGCGCCGCTCTTGTCAAGCTTCCAGCTTCAGATAGAGAGTCCAGTTCCAGCTCCTAACCATAGACGGCCCTGTGGCCTCAACTCATATCCCCTCCGTGTGTGCATTCATGCTACTACCCTTGAGGTAAGTATATGTGCCTCCAAGGACCAGGTTCTTCCATTTCTGCTATAGAATCTATACCATCGCTATAGATTCCTTCTTCATTTGGGCCCTAGGGAGTCTCTCTCTCTTGATATCTGGAGTGGAGAACTCCACGCCCACTCAGTCCTCCATCCTGACCACAAAATGGACCATGAAATGCTGCTGCTCCCCTATGAGACTGGGTGCTCCGTGGCAATAGGAACTGTAGCCGTATCCTCAGGCCCCATTACAGTGCTTGGCACATAGCAGGTACTCAACAATTATTTGTTGTAATACAATGAGGGGAAAGGGAGCTGGGAGGCATTTCAGGAGAGGTGAGCAGCAGTGGTTAAAGCAGAGATGAGCAGGATGTACTTGGGCAAGTTGAACCAGGGTGTGAGGAGGATGGCAGTGGGAGGCCAGACAAGGGAGGCAGGTGGGGGTAGATGGTGAGAGGTCTTCAATTCCACCAGGAGCCTGAACTGGGTCTGGTAGTTAATGGGGACCCATAGAAGGTTTCAGAGCAGGGGAGTGATATGATATAGCAGGTTGGAGGCTGAGAATTCTGGGAGCATGGTGCAGGCATGAATAGATTGGAAGGGGGAGATTTGGGAGAATTAGAGCCTACTGCAGTGGTCCAAGGAACAGGACTGAAGGTCTGACCTAGAGGGGTAATGAGGAATAGAGGAGGAGGCCCAGCAAGAGACATAAAAAGAAAAGCCTCAAAGTCGGGCTAGATGTGAGGAATGAGATGGGACAGAGTTAAATATGAGGGTTTAAGCCTAGGTAGCAGGAAAAACAATGAAACCACAGATGGAAATGGAAAAACAGAAGCATGCACATATAGCCACAGCTACAGATGACTCACACGTGTGATGCGCAAGGGGACACACACAGATGGCCAGTGCAGCCTTAGCTGCCTTCCTGGCGTTACGGAGAACCATCCCTAACAGTCACACCTGACACGAACACCAACCTGAAGACTGGCAGCATTGATTTCACTTCTAAACAAACCTTTGAGAAGGAGCAAGCAGCAATCACAGTTTCAGGTTGAAAGAGTCTTTAGGGGTTTCCTTGTCCATCTGCTTGTCTCAAGGCCAAGCCTACAAAAGCCATCTCTGTTTCCAAAATTATCCCCCAAAAAGGATTTTGCACTTCACTCTCCTTCCTAGGATCCAATCGAAACCTTTTCTGCTGCTCTTAAAGGTCACAGCAGCTCACCAGCAAATTCCACCCATCCCCCAGCCCACTGCTCCTGACTCCTCCTGTCAGCTCTCAGTGACAACTGGCCAACCCTTCCTGCCCGTGGCTCTGGGACAAAAGTTACCTGGCATTTCCAGATACTCAGCATCTGTTGCTTTCTAATTGCTTTGAGTCTTTTAACCACAAGAGAGTAGGGCTTGCCTACCAGAAGATTCCTAAAGTAGAAATTATATGATATGTTGTTGGTAATTCCTGGAGCCCCCAACCCAAAGGTGGGTACACTGGGAGGAAGTGTGCTAAACTATAGTTCTGGATTCAAATTCTGCCTCCACATTTCTCTAAAGAAGACATACAGATGGCCAACAGACATATGAAAAAATGTTCAACCTCATTAATCATTAGAGAAATGCAAATAAAAACCACAATGAGATACCACCTCACTCCGGTCAGAATGACTATCATCAATAAATCAACAAACAAGTGCTGGTGAGGTTGTGGAGAAAAGGGAGCCCTGGTGCACTGTTGGTGGGACTGCAGATTGGTGCAGCCATTATGGAAATCAGTATGGAGGTATCTCAGAAAACTGGAAATGGAACTACTATGTGACCCAGCAATTCCACTCTTGGGTATCTATTCAGAGAAACCCAAGTCGCTAATTCGAAAAAATATATGCACTTCTATGTTTATTGCAGTGCTATTTACAATAGCCAAGACTTGAAAACAACCGAAATGCCCATCAGTAGACAACTGGGTTAAGAAACCATAGTACATTTATACAATGGAGTATTACTCTGCTATAAAGAAGAATTAAATCGTACCATTTGCAATGATATGGGTGGATCTACAGACTATTATGTTAAGTGAAATAAGTCAGTCGGAGAAAGACAAATACCATATGATCTCACTTATATGTGGAATCTAAAACACTGAATGAACGAGCAAAGTAAACAGAAGTGGTCTCAGAGATATAGAGGAACAACTGATGGCTGATAGTTGGGAGGGGGTGGGGATGAGGGAGAAGGGGAAGGGATTAGACAGCATAAATAGTTAACTACAATATTGCCACAGGGATATGAAAAACAGTTTGAGGAATATAATTAATAATGTTGTAAATATTTTGTAGGCTGTCAGGTGGTCACATGTCTTGCTAGGGAGACCACATCATGGATGGGGTAGAGGCTTGATCACTGCACTGTACACCTGAAGCTGATGTTGTATAATATTGTATGTCAGCTATAATTGAATGCATATGTAGTCATGGTACGTATAAGGATAGTGTGGGAGTGGCGTCAAGGGAATTGTAATAGATATGTATGATATGGGGGAAGAGTGGGGCGGCAGATTGGGGGGGGGTAAAAAGTATAACTATTGCACTGTGTTGTACAGCTGAAACTAATTTAAAAATTGTTTATTTCACAATAATAAATAAATAAATAAATAAATAAATAAATAAATAAATTCTGCCTCCTCCCTCACAAGGACTGTGTGATGTTGGGAGTTTACTTAACCTCCCTGAACCTCAATTTCCTCTGCTATAAAATGGGAGCTGTAATGCTTTCCTCACAGTATGGTTGCGAGGAGCCACAGAGAAAACACTGGAAAAAGCAGCTAGCATGGTGCTTGGCACACAGTCTACCCTCAAACAGTGGCTGAAGGTACATAGGAGGATGTGTCTGCTCCACAGATACCAGGAATTAACTAAGTGACATTCAGTGTGTCCCCTTGGCCATCAATGTTTTCAGGTGACTAGGCCCACAGCCTCTAGCCCTTCCCCACAGAGTTCACTTTCCAGCTATTTGCCCAGCCCCAGTCTCCCGTCTTCTGTTTATTCGTTGCTAGATACCTCTAGTTCCCAACTCCTACTGCCTCTTCTCAAGCTCTGTCCCAGAGTGGGGGTGGGGAGTGAGGGGGTGAGGGCAGGAGGGGCCTGTCCAGGCTGGATGAAAGCTTACCTGGGGCCTAGGGTGCCCGGTGACAAGGCACTGCAGCACGAGGGTGTCGCCCTCCCGGATGGTGTAGACTCGCTCGCTGATGTTGTCCTCTTTCACTACACATGCCTGGCCCGCGTGCACGATCTGGGCCTGGGCTGGAGCTGGCAAAAATGGGGGGAGGTTAGACAAGATGCACCAGGGCCAGAGGGGGTCTGAGGCTCCCTCCTGAGTATGCGGGGGTGGGGGAGGGTCAGCCTGGACCTCCCCAGGCCATCTTCAAAGACCTGGCCCCATTGAGCTCAGGCAAGATTCTTCCCAGAGCCCCCAGGCCAGAACCAAAGGGGTCAGGAGCTCAGGAAAGGGGCAATTCCTCCCCATAGCACCCCACTTGCAAGAGGTCTGTGCTCTTGAGTGAGCTGATGAGGGCAAGGGGCTTTGTAATCTGTATAGAGTGGGTATCACTCAGCGAGCATCACTGTCTTAGCAGCCCCCATCCTGGAGGCTGCTTGTGCTCCACGGAGATTCCTGCATCTGGCCGGTACATCATCCTCATCTGCTCTGTGTGACAGCTGCTATGAGCACAGAGCTCACCTTCCCCAGGGAATTGCCCTCGGCCAGTGGGAGCTGCCTGGGCCAGAAATGCCTAGGAGGTCACCTTCTTCCCCAATATACACACACACTCCCTATGACTGGCCAACATGAGTGCAAATGCCCAGCCCCCTTGGCTCAAGAGGGGATGACTGATGCTGTTCACGCTCCACAGCCCCCACGCCCTACCCCAGGGAACAGACCAAGGCCAAGTCAGCTGAACCACAGCTTTGCCCAGCTGCTTCCCTCATCCCCTTAGTTTCTCCCGAGAGCCTTTTCTCAGCAAATCACTGAACCATACCCACCCTCAAGCATCCCAGGCTCTACTTTTAGAGAGCATAGCCTAAGATTCCCCACATCCCCACAGACTCCATATTCCCCTCACCCAAAGGCCTGTTCATTTCCCCTCATTGCTCCCTGAGCCTGTGCCAGCCTCTCCTCCAAGGATCAGAAATTCTCACAGGGAGTCTGGAAGCTCTCAAGAAACTGTCCCCTCCTTGACCTCCCTCACAGTGCCCAGGGCTGGGGAACCCAAAGGGAAAATGACCGAGCTGGAAGAACTCACAGCCTCTCCCTCAGTGTCAAGCCCCATTGTCCTAAAGGCAAACCAGTCTCCAGCCTACCAGTGCTTGGGTTCTGGGTAGGAGGACAAGGCCCTCAAGTTCACACCTGTCTGCTCACAGATGACGGTATAAAGAGTGGAGGTGGGAGAGCTGATTCAGGGCACAAGGGACACAGGGAGTGAACCCCGAGCCCTTGTCCTAAAGAGGTGCACTGAGGTAAGATAAAACCCATACAGAAACTATGTAACTTCCTCCAGGAAGTGTGCCATGATTGACCTGCACCTTCCCTCCTTCTGTATCAGTCACTCCCCCAGCACATCAAAGCATCAATCTGTGTGTCTATCAAATTCAGGGTTCTCGCCTTTCTGCCTACCAGGCTGTGAACTTCACCTTGGTATCCCCAGCATAAGGTCTTACATACAGTGGGTGCTCAAGTGGATGTTGAATGAATGAATTTACAAGAATATCCCATGGTCAAGTTGCTAAGCATTATGAGGGGTACAGAAGTCCCTCGGAGGTCAGGGGACAGAAACATCACCATCCGCTGGAGGAAGACTCACAGGGGGCTCTGTGGAAGAGGCAGACTTTGAATCAGACCTCAAAAAAACAGGGGGGCTTCTTGCCAGTGGACAGGGCAGAGTCCTACATTATATATTATGGATTACTGGGGGTAAGCCACCAGTGATCATTAAGCCTTTGTTTTCTCATCTCTAAAATGGAGAGAGTGCCATGAACCCTGAGAACGCACAAGGGTGGATGTGACAATAACACTGGGTAAATGAGAAGCGCTTTGCAGAACTCCAATGTGTTCTACAGGTGCCACAAGTAGCGCCTTAACGGACTCTCTCCGAGCAACGCTGATGGGACAGACACGAACCAATAACTGAGAAGGTCCACAGAGGCAGCCTGGTGTTGGATGAGAAGCTCGTGGGAAAGCAAGTGGGAGGCAGGTTATGGGAGGCAGGTCATGTGACACAGGTCATGTGACTCTTGACCATAAGAGTCTCTCCAAAGAGCATCAGGTTCTGCAAACAGTGGCAGCTGCCACCAACCCAGAGTCTGAGTGTCCAGGTGTCCATCCTGCCTGCCTGGCTGTCACAGAGGAATGAACCTAGATAAGTTGTCAGGCAGCAGGCTGTGTGACCTTGGGCAAGTCAGACCTCCATGGGCCTCAGCTTCACCATCTATATGGGGGGAGTGGATTTGATTACCTCTAAGTTCTTTTCAACTCACACTTTCAACAATGTATGTAATCAGTGCACAGTCCCTGCATAAGATGAACCTTAGAATTTGCGGAATGGGTCTGACATTGTTGCCCTCTGCAATGAAAATGCATGAACACTACCATAACATGGAAGAGATAGCCATCTGTGGCCAGGGTCCCCAGGAAATCTCATCGGGAAACAACCCACCAATGCATGATGTGTAAGCCAGTTGCTGATAAGACCAGGAGGCTATATGGATGTCCACAAGAAACCTGCAGTATCTCTCAACGAGGAAGACATTGATTTAACAGGCTCCAATGAAAGATAAGCTATAATCTTGGACACTGTGGCTTACGCACAGCCAGGCAGTGTTGTAATGACAGAAGCTTTGGTGATTGATAAGGAATATTGAGAAAGGGCTGGAGAGATAACCTTTCTCAGGGCCCAGCCAGCACAAGTCAGAAAAGATGGGGCCCAGCCAGCAGACACAAGGCCTCTTGCCATCTGACAGGTGCGTTTCCTCCCTGGAGATGGGGCTATGAGTGGGCATCATGGGTGATGACATCATTACGATTATCCAACACTTTTTGATGACATTAATATTAAGGCTATCCAGCTCTAAAATGGCATAGCCACTTTGGAAGAGATCTTGGCAGTACCTACTCCAGCTCAACTGAAGTGTGTGGTCGTGGGCAGCAATTCCACTCCTGAGTATGTACCCACTAGAAATGAGTGCTTATGACAACCAAACAATAGAATATTCATAGCAGCTTTATTCATTATAGGTATAAACAAGAAACATCCCATAGGTCCATCAAGGGTAGCTCGAGTAAATAAATTCTGGTATATTCATACAATGGAATATTACACAGAGTGAAAAAATGAACCACTGATAGACACAGAAACTCTACTGAACCTCACAGGCACAAGTGAAGTGAAAGAACGCGGATACAAATGAGTAAATAGTGTATGATGGTTTTTGTTTGTTTGTTTGTTTGTTTTGCTGAGCCATCCTGCTGCCTGTTGGCAGCTCAGCAGCAGCTCAGCTCGGGCCGGTCATCGAAATGCTATTGCTCAGAGCTCACTCTTGAGCGAGCTCTTAACCAACTGAGCCACTCTGCTGGCCCTATAGTGTATGATTCTATGTATTTGAAATTTAAAACTGGAAAAACCAATCTTATACTAATCCATATCTAAACAATGGTTGCCCATGGGTGGGGGTGGGGGGTTCTTTACTGGGAAGGGCACAAGAGAACTTTCTGGAGAGAAGGTGGGATCCCATCTGGGAGGAAGAAAATGATCTACATCTTAATCTGAGGGGTGGTTACATAGGTGGATACACATGTAAAAATGTATCAAATTTTTGCTTAAGATTTTACAGTATCTAAGTTACACTTCAATTAAAAAAAAAAGAGCATCCCTTTGATGACACTCCCTATTGAGGTTACCTTGTTTCGTTTGATGTCACTAACTATTACAATTCCCTCCTCCTTTTACTCTGACTCCTACTTGATGAGCTGCTTCCCATGGCTGACTTCTTCCAGGTATAGATTTCCCTTCTGGAGCGAGTGCTGGCTAGAAGCAAAGTACCCAGGCTCCCTTGGCCTTGGCAGTTCAATTTTCCCATCACCCCCCACTGACTCTCATTAACATGAGTCAGCCCCCCACTCTGCTCAGCCCTGGAATGGCTGGAACTGTGTTTCTGACCCTGAACCAACAGAGATCCCACCACATCACAGGTCCCCAAAGGGGCTCTGTCCCCCTTAACTTTAGCCTCCTACTCCATACACCCCAGGAAGGCAGTGGCAGCAGTAGCATCTTCTGATTCCAAAGGCAACCAAACCAGGGCCTGTGTCAAGAGGCACCCTGACATAATCCCTTCATTCAGTCTGTCAAACAACAAATGCTTCGAGCCTGCCACTGTGCTGGGTGCTGAAGAGGCTGTCATGAAAAGCAAACAAGGACCAGCTCTGAAAGAGCATTGCTGGGGTGATGGATAGCAAACAAGGAAACAGAAATGAACAGAATGGTTTCAGAGTGTGCTAAGTGCTAAGGCGACACTAAAGCAGGGGGATGTGACAAAGAAGAGGGCAGAGGAGAGACCTGCTTTAGAGAGATGGAAGGAGCTGAAATCCGGGCTTAATCCCTGGCTCTGCTACCCACTAGCTGAGTGACACTGGGCAAGTTACTTAACCTCTCTGAGCCTCAGTCTCTTCATTTCTAAAATGGGAACAGTAATGCCTTCTTCAGGGGCTGGTGTGGGGTTTTAAACAATATATCTGGCCAAACAGTGTGTGCTCTCTCTCTCTCTCACTAAATGATAGCTCCTGAGATGATTGATTGCATAGAAGCAAGAGAGAACACCCTCTGTGGCCCCCTCTGCATTCCAGGGGTGGAGCCACTCAAAGCTGACGTTGAACTACCAGGGATGTTTCATGAATATGTTCAAGATGCTGAGGGCTGTGTAGGAAAACCTGAGAGGGATGGCGTCCTCCACTGAGCACCCTTCTTACTGGACCACACCCTTAGCTTTCAGCAAGTTACTTTGTGTCTTTCAGCAAGTTACTTAAGCCTTAGTTGTCTCAGTGGCAACACAGGGTTTTGTGAGGAATAAATAAGTAAACACCGTGAAGTGTTTAAAACGGAGTCTGGTACACAGTGAGCATGCATCCATGCCAGCCAGCGTTTTTATTCTATAAATGATCCTGCATTCCTCTCAGGCCACCTCCCCGGGGGCCTGAAGCCCTTTGCGTGGCAGGATCCTGCCGTATCTGCCACAGAGGATGAGGGTTGGTACATTCCCAG